TTATGTAAACTGTAAAATACATATCTCAAAGATAGCAGTCCTTTTTAACACAAACACTACCTGCACAGTACACAAAAAGAACATACCAAGGTGGAAATTATTCTCATGGCAAAGAAATTATTTTTAAACACCTTCTTGAAACAGTTTCCCTGATATCATTAAATATCGGGGTACAGTTCTGTTATCTGTATGTACAGCTTTTAGGAACCAGAAACCAGGTACCGGTATACATCTGCTATTATGAGTCACAAATACACTACAGATGACATTGTCATGCAACTGCTCTTCTTTCAGTGAATTAACATGATAGGATAAGAACCCAAGTCTACCTAAAGTTGTGTACAGTTTTTTCTTTTTTGGGGGGGGGCAGGTGCAGGGGATGAAACCCAGGACTTCACGCATGCTAGGCAAAAAGTCTACCACTGAGCTACACCCACAGTTCTGTACATTTCTTATGTGTATATCAAGGACCAATATCTAAAAACATATCTAGATGGTTAAATACTGATACAACATGGGTCCTTCAACATTTAAGGTAACAGAGTAAAAATATCAGCAAGTAAACTGCTGTATTATCCACAGCCTCCATGTTAGCAAAAAACGATGCAGAATGGGAAGAAATACTATAACATACTCACACAGAAAGTCATCTGACTTATTCTGTAAAATATACCACCCTTCGTCAGCCACTGCTATGATTGGTTGAATTCGATCGTTGTATTTGTAGTGCCATCTCTCTGGAATCTCCTCTTTTTTGTAAACAGTAAGATTCGGATGAGCATGAGCCAGTGTTTCGTAGACTTCATTAAATTTACCTAAAGAGAGAGGAGGAAAGGCACTCAGAACAGGGCTCTCATCGCCATGAACAGCCAACCTCAGGCAGCAGACTCCTTGATGAACATCACGGAATTCAACCAGACATAGAACCACACCACCTTGGAGAAAAGAATACTGAGGGACAAATAGAAATAATTACTCTTGTGTTGTAAATAAAGTCGCCTTACAGAACTGTGAGGACTTTTCATAGAACCAAAAAATCTCTAAAGTCTTAACTATGAGTATACACATGCATGCACACATTTTCCTTAGTGTCACATTTATTTGTGACACTAAGGAAAATGTCCAGGGTACAACAGTCCCCAAACAAGAACAAAGAGCTAGGTACTGATGTATTGGAGTGCAGAGACAGAATCTTCAGACAAGAAAACATGGTATATAGAGGGTGGGGCTGGGAAAAAATGATGGAAAACAGCAGCTTGTGAAACAAAAAGGTCCCAATACCCTGGAGGTGTTGCAGAAGTCCTCCCAGACCTGCACATGAACTACACCTGGGCACTGACTTCAATGCTTGTTTTTTAAACCCATTTCTTAGGGGCTTTGTCCCTGTCTCCCACACCCCAACAAGGGAACATGAATTCAGTTATATAAAGAAAATTGGTGGGCTAAAAATCAATTAAACATCAAGATAATACTTGTTATTCGTTGGAAACTTTGTGTGTAGGCATCTGTGCATACTCTAACATTTACCGCTCCATGATTCTTTTAATTCCTCTGTGAAGGACAGAATCCACATTTTGTGAGATATTGCAGATTTTGAAAATCTGTTCTCAGCTTTGATACCTAACACCAACTTATAAGGTGATCAAATATATCAGAAGAGTGGGCCAAGTCATATTCTGTCAATCATTTGGTGACCTCAGGATATTAAGTCTTTGGCTATCTTAAAATGAAGCCAATGCTGAAGTGACAGGTTTGGTGCAAGGATCCAGTAGAGGTTCATAAAAAGTTCAAGGTATTGTTATTACTTACCCTGCTTATATGTAAGGAAAATGAATCTTAGGAGTAACAAAAGCCTTTCTCTTTATTGCATTGTTAAGCAGGTTCTATTTAAAGGTCTACAGGAGGCTTTAGAGTTCCATAAAATCAAGATAATTGTATTCAATTGTTGTGTATGTCTTTCTCAGTTTGAGAAGGGAGGTAATGGCTTTTATCACTGTAATTCCAAAATAGTTAAAAAACCTACTGCTATAAACATACAGAGAACATACATTTCAATATTTTATGAAAAAGGAAAAAATCTCTGAAGAAATTTAATCTTTTCAGCTTTAAGGATTAAATCCCAGAACACTATCACACAGGCAAGTACAGACACAGAAATGGAAAACACTTGCTCATTACACACTGGGCAATTGCAGATCTAGCTTCAGGTCAGACTTACCTTCTTTTGGCAAGATGGCAGCTACTGGAGATTGGTCAACCAGGGTATACTGATCTTTATCCAGATACTGGTCAAGTTCTATTACCCTTTCCTTAGAACACTGGGTCATTCCATGATCACTTGTGATGATTAGGTTCACAACATTCCACAACTTTGCCTTTTTAAGCATCTGTATGAGATATCCTAACTTGTGGTCAATATCTGAAATGACAGGCCCCATGAGTGGACTGTCAGGTCCCAAATGGTGGCCCATGTCATCTGGGTCTTCCCAATAGAGAAGACCAAGATTTATGGGCTCTTTTGATGTAAACCATTCAATAATTTTGGCAACTCTCTCATCAAATGAGATGGACTCATTGTAAGGCATGTAGTAAGTTGGAAAGCTCTTATGGATCTTTACATCTGCTCCAGGCCACATGGCTGCACCACTAGCATGTCCTGCCCTCTGATTTGTGATCCATATTGGTGTTGCTTCTTCCCAAAACTTGGGATCATAGATATTCATGTGATCCAAGGAGAAAGATTTGTTCAGAATAGGATCAAACATGTCATTTGCAACAATTCCATGATTCTCTGCAAAGAGGCCAGTGACCAAAGTATAATGGTTAGGGTAGGTCTTTGTAATAAAAATATTAGTAACTTGCTTCACATGAACACCGTATTTCATAATATAATGAAAATGGGGTGTTGGAACTTTAAATAAGTAATCCCAACGGAATCCATCAAATGAAACTAGCAAGACCTTTTGCTGGTCTGGTTGGAGAGAAAATGTAGTTGAAAGAGTTAGTGCAGCGAGTGCAAAAGATGCTGAGAGAAGCTTTGAAGTCATTTTCATGGTACTGGATCAGTTCAGTGTAAGGTAATCTGTAAAATAAACATAAAGAAGTTAATGGCAGCAATTTGTTTTGTATGCTTTACTCCAACCCAAGATACTGCTTAGTCATCCCAAGTACATCATAGCTCAGAGCCTGGAAGAATGACGTGTGACAGAACTCCATCTTCAACAAGAGACCTGGGGTCTACATGTTTAAGAAAGTTAAGAAGTTTAATTGCATTTTATTTTCTAAGGATTTTCTCAAAGGAATTATTGAAATTAACTCCCAGTAGCATTTAAAATGATTTTTTTGTAGTTGTAGATGGACAGCAAGCCTTTTTATTAATTTTTGTATGCAGTGCTAAGGATCGAACCCAGTGCCACACACATGCTAGGCAAGTATTCTGCCACTGAGCCCCAGCCCCCAATAGCATTTTTAAATATGATATCATTTACATAAATTTTTCAGAAACATTTTCAGGTTTATCCAGACTTCTGACCAGGAATTTTTACAGTCAAATACCTAAGAATATATTCATCATGGATGGAACTTAGCAACAAGGATATATATTAGTAAAGCCAATAATGATGCTATTTAAACACATGCATGAGCACCCACCCCTCCACAAACATACTTTTCAAAGCCACACTTAGGTTACCTAAGAAATCTCTTGAATTCAGCTTTTGACATCTTCCTAATTTGAACATGGTGAAGTCATTCTGAAGATTTAAAAATAGATCCTGTCTTGCCTTGATATATCATAGAGAAAGGTAAATAAAACCTGCTTGGCATGCTTGCTTTGCTTTCAGAAGTACAAACCGTTTGGTTCATCATAGAGGTATCACTACAGAGGAAAGTACTTGAGCTTGGTTTCTTGAAGTGAAATAAAATTTATGACTTCCAAATATATTTGTCAAATGTATTCTGTACTCATTTAATAATACAGCCTTCTATACTAAATGATTAGATTTTAAACTAAGTATAAATAGAAACATAATTTTTAAATTAGATGTTGACCTTCCTAATGTTACAATTAACAGTTAATCTTATCAGTAATATGTACAGAAAAAGTATTTCTCAGGATTAAATTTCTTTGGAATACAATTGCTGTTTTTAATTTGCATATATTACAACAAAACCAATAATAACCTTTTAATTCTATTTAGGAAAGCTAATAAGAGGCAGTATGGAGAAACGATTTCATGTGTATGCTTTGCTGTTTCTCATTAAGTCAATCAAGGATCTTGTTCTCTCCCTCTTGGGTCCATCTTGCAGGAAGGTATTTATAAGCCCATCAAAACCTGACTTAATCAAAGGTTGGCTAAGAAATTTCTTGAATTCAGCTTTTGATATCTTCCTAATTTAAGCATGGTGAAGACATTCTGAAATCCGGAAAACAGATTCTGACTTCCCCTAACAAATTAGAGAGAAAGGTAAATAAACCTGCTTGGCATGTTTGCTTTGCCTTCAGAAGTACAATCTGTAAATGATGTATATTAGTAGCTGAGGGCGATAATTCTGCTTCATTTTAAAAACTGGTTTTACGTTACTTTAACTGAAATTGTTTTAGGTATTGCTCTCAAGACAATGGCTCAAAAATTAAAAACTATTAAGTTTTCCATTTCTGGAAGAAAGCTAAAAATAGCCGCAACAGGAAAGTGCACATTGGAAAATGCAAATTTATTGACTAACGTATCTGGCTGAGGATATGTTCCTCCCTCTCCTTTCTTCACCAATTTTCTCCCCCACCTTCCTAACACAAAGAAGGCTCCAATCGACCAAATAAAGGCTAAACAAAGAGTCGACTACGTGGAACACCTGGCTTTAATCTATTTTAACAAATTCAATAATTGCGGTAAACAAGAAACAACTGCATTCCTTGGGCAATCAGTCAGCAAATATTAAATGTGGTCTAGAGATTAGGGATGTTTGGTAAGAAGAAAGAACCAACATTATCACATCGATGACATAAAGCAAAAAACAGAGATGGGGGGTGGGGATGAAAGAAATCATATATTTCTTTTCTAGGGCATAAATGTTGCACGAAGCCCTGGGATCTCTAGATGTGGGTCCAGCTTTCCCCAGGCTGCTTTTCGGTTCCTCCTCCCCTTCCATCTCCCCCGCAAACAACCTTGGAAACCTGGAGGGAAGGGGCACCAATCAAAGGGCAGAGGAGGAAGGTGAAGGAGGAGTGGGTATATAGAGAGCAGGTAGCCGGCAGGGGGAGGGGGTTGCATCTCCTCATCTTCTCCACCTGCGCTCCGTGCTGGCAACCGAGAAGGTTCGCCCTGGAAGGTACGTTCCCAGTTCCCAGACCTCCTCCCCCGAGGCGGGCGAACGTTCCCTCGGGGGCTGTCTGGGTGCGCGCTACCGAGGCGGGGCGACAGCTCTGGGGCCCACAAAGCCGTGTGGGCTCCCGGGGGGCAGGCCGTCCACCCCGGACTCTTACCCTCGCAGCGATCCGGTCTGTCCGCATCGGGTGGGGACAATAGGAGCGAGGGCCTGGAGGAGGCTCCCTCTGGTAGACCGAGTCACAGCCGGGAGGTGGCGGGAGGAACGAGGGGGAGCCCCCTGAACCCGCAGCCGCTCACCTGCCAGCAGCCTCCGCGCAGAGCACCTGACCCGCGCCGCCGACCGCCCAGCTTCTTGGCTCCCATTGGCTGCTGCGGGACTGTCACCTCTGCGGGGCTGCAGCACGGAAGCCGGGCTCCTAGGAGTAGCTGCGCCGCCTGTCAATCAGTGGGAGCGGGGGCGGGCTCTGCTTGGGTTTGGAGGATGGAGAGGGAGGGAAGCTGGGGGACCAGAAAGCCTGCAAGGACCGAACTGGTAGGCCCCACCGGGTGGGGAGGCTAAAACGCACGTCACTGGGCGCCCCCTCGGGGCCTGTCCCTGTTCACACACACACAACGTTCCGCACTGTGGCTGTTCTGGACAACCACTTATGTCAGTGATGCTGAGAGACGTTAAAGCGCTACCACTGCGGTTGGTGTCCTCAAAGGCTGTTTTTGGTGATAAGCTACTTTTGTTCTCTCCTTTGATCTCTCATCCCAAGCCCCGCCCCCTCCCCTACATCACATCTCCGACATGGCAATTTTCTTCAATTTCTTTTCTCCCTCATGTGTTGCGATGTCTTACCTCAAAGGATTTAGTAGTCATTACTGCAGCCCATTGTTTGATGCCCAGGTTTTTGCATTTGAGATCTCTGGGGTTCTGTGGAGATAGATCTAGCAGTAGCACCTGAAAACACTGAAATTAAACCGGGCCAAGCACCGAGAGACAGGCAGAACAATTGCTCTGATGGTTGCATCTAGGCTCCAGACTCATGCATTAAAATTACAAATTTCAGGCCTGTGATTTCTCTTTCCACAAGTCTTAGGTGTTTTTGGTTCGTTAGTGCCCTTCTTCTTCTTCTTTTTTTTTCTTTTCATTTCCTTCCTTCCTTTTATTTATTTTTTGTTGTACTTCTGGAGATTGAACCGAGGGTACCTCTATCACTATACCTCCAGCCCCTTTTATTTTTTGAGATAGGGTCTTACTGAGTTGCTTAGAATGGCCTTGATTTTGTGACCTTTCTGCCTCAGCCTTTGTAGTAGCCAGGCATGGTGGCCCATGCATGCCTGTAATCCCAGCAATTTGGGAGGTTGAGCCAGGAGCATTGCAAGTTAGAGGCCACTGTGGGCAGCTTAGCAAGACCCTGTCTCAAAATTAAAAAAATAAGAAGGGATAAGGATGTAGCTCAATGTCACAGTGCCTCTGGATTCAATCCCCAGTGCCAAAAGGGAGAAACAACAACAAAATAATAATACAATGGCCCTGTTTCTTTTCCTGGATTGCAGTGAATCAATTTTTAAGTTTTTCAGTAATTGATGATATTTTTAGGTCTGAGAGGTCATGGGGAGTGCATAATTTGCTAATTTGACCCCAGCTGTATTTACCATGAATTATACCATTGACATCAAGCTACTCTGGAAGGATCTGTTCATCTACTCATGTCCCAGTTCTAATTAGATAGAATTCTAATTCATCTGTAATAGGCAATAGTATCTGTTCAACTGTCACCATCTAATCTAAGTAGCTGATTAAAAACAGGAGCATACTAGCAACAGTGGCTTTGCTCTTGTCTAGAGCTCATGGGCCCTGTCTGATGTGCTGGAGCTGTAAAGGGCACAGACATTGCTGCTGATATTTAATTACATGAAGTGAACCTTTTAGTCATTGCCTTTTCTTTCTTAGCTTCTAATAGAGGGGCATTCCCAACTCCAGCCAGAGCCACCTGCAAATTGGGTCATACCATCCTGAAGGGCATTTGGGCACTCTGCCACAGCCTTTTATTGTTTTTGAGTTTATGGTCTGCAACATGTGGGATGGGGATTAAAGGCAGGCTGGTTTTGTGTTTAGCCAGACCCAAAGACAATGAAGCTGAACAGGTTGTTCCAAGTCCCCAAAGCCCTGTCCTTTGAAATTGCTCATACTTGGAACGAAGTGGTCCAATCTTATAAGCTTTGCCTTCCTCAAAGAGACAAATTCTGCGTTCTCTCAAAACATTGAAAGAACAACTTACGCTTTTCAGAGAACAGGATAGTTAAGACAGGCCTTTATGTGGGTCATTGAATATTGTAGGACTCTGTTCAGCTGACAATCTGCCTTGCTCTGCAAACTTTTATGGGAGTCATGATTGTATTTACCAGCTACACCTGTGAAACAGGCATAGCACAGCTGTTAGCCACAATTCACAACACAGAAAAACACTCATGGGCTCAGAAAATGTCAGAGTTACCTTCTAGACTCCATATAACAACATCTGATGATCAACTAGTAGGCTTGAAATATAATTCATGTTTCTAATGGGAAAAAATCTGGTTTAAATAGTACAGAGGAATAATATTAAGTATCCATTGATGGAATTCATGCTTATACATCTGTACTTTGCCTGTTGTCTCCATTTTTATCCAGTTGCAACTATTGCTTGGCAAGTTATGGCAGAGTAAGCCATAGCCTATCACTATGATTATTCTTTTATTCTATACAACTGAATTGGTAGACTCCTAACTGAGCTAGTGATATGTTTCTAAATTAAGGAGTAACACCAGAATCAATCCCTCCCCCAGGTTTGGGGTCAGGGTCAGGATGGGGAGGACCTTTTGCCTTTTGAAGACCCTAAACAAGTCTAATAAGGGTTTAGAAGCTGAATTTTCTTCTTCAGGGGCTGGAAGAGTTTTGTGCTAAAAACGTAATAAAATCTGTTCTCCATGAAATAATCAAGGCTGGCTCTACTATGGATATTTCATTTTTAGAACTAGGCTCCATTATAGGGAAAACAAACAAATTATTTTATAATTTAATAAAAAATATTTAAAGTTGGACTAAGTAACTGAAAGAAAGTCTCCCTTAATCCTTTATAGAATATTCTGCAAAATGTGGGTTTCACATATTCAACAACAATAGGTAGGATCCATTGGGACTCTGGATCTGAACTGATCTTAATTTATGGTAAACAGTGGGTGTCCACTGGTTTAGACTCAGCAAAAGTTCAACCCAGTGAGTGAAAAATTGAATTATAGAATATTCAAAGACTTTGCCCAAGAATTCTTATTCATTGTTAAGGTCTGTAAACAAGTCAAAATAACACCTGGTATTTTGCCAGGGGAATGTTAGAGTTCCTAAACAAGTTTGGATGGTGCCCGGCAAAATGCCAGAGGGAGTGGTTTGTGAAGTAACAAAAGTGAGCCATTAAGTGTGGAGAGTCCTTATTGGTTGACTGATGTATCTAGTTTATGTTAATTAGATAAGCTGTGTGAAATGTGTAAATAGCTCTGTTGTCCTACAATAAAGGGCTCCTATTCCTGCTGTATCAATCTACAGAAGTTATTCGTCACCCCCCCCCCCCATTCTGCTGCAGCCGGACTGCGGCAATTCATAGTACCAATTTAGGCTTCTAATGATATATTTGTCCTTACTCGAACTAATATCATGCAATTATTGTGCTTTTATTCTCAGAAAGCATTATGTAAGACAAATATAACTAGACTGTATTACTGTATTCTATAAATTGTAGACATAGCTTACTAGTTTCTGGGACTATAATAAATTATCACAACTGGGTGACTTGTGAACAGAAATGGGTTCATTCACAGTTTTGAAGGCTAAAAATCTGAAATCAAAATATCGGCAGGGCATGCTCCCTGCAGGGGCTCTAAAGACAATTCCTTCCTTGCCTTTTCAGCTGCTATGCATTTTTGGTGCTGCTTGGCTTGCTGCGGCATGGCAGGAGTCTTTCCCCCATCACACAGTGTTCTATTCTGTGTGTGTCTGTCATACAGACTTTTTAATAAGACACCAGCCATTAGAAGTAAGGCCCACTTGAATCCAGTATGACTTCATTGAAACTTAATTTCACCTGCAGAGAGCATAGTTCCAAGTAAGATCACATTCTGAGGTCTAGGTGAATGTGGCTTAAAAAAAAAAAGTTATGCAACCCAGTACCTATAGCCAGCAGAATGTTTAATTTTATGGCCCAACCTAGATCACAAGTTCATGAATTATTAAAATGGCTCAAATCAACATCAACACCAGCACACCAACATCTAGTGTTCCTTAGGATTCAAAGCAATAGGAACTATTGTATTGGGAATGATACAGCCACTATGGAAAGAGTTTGAAAGTGACTTATAACATTAAATGTGCATTTGGCATGCAACCCAGGAATCACACTCCTAGGTGCTTATCCAAGAGAAAGGAAGATGAATGTCCATTGAAAAACTTACAAACAATTGTTATAGCTGCTTTACTCATGATCACCAAAAGCTATAAATAACCCAAATGTGTCTCAACTGGTGAACTGATAAACAAATCATGGTATAGTCATGAATGGAATACTGTTCATCAAAGAGAAGGGATGAAGCTGATATAAGCAACATGGATAAATCTCAAAAGCATTTTGCTGAATGAAAGAAGCAAAATGATTAAATTCTCCATGATTCCATTTATCTGACATTATAGAAAAGGCAAAATGATGGAAATAGAAATCAGATTAGTGATTGCCAGGAGCTAGGGTATAGGGGAGAGGACTGGCTACAAAGGGGCACAGGGAACTTTATGGATTGAATTTTCTTTGCAGTGGTAGTTATATAATTAAGTTTTTTATTCATTAAATTATACATTCCAATGTCTTATTGTATGGAGATTATACCTCCATAAATAACAGCAACATGAACTAATTTCCACTTTGTGATCACCCCCACAGCCCTCAAGAGTTCATGAATTAGGCCTGGTGGTGTTTGACTTGCAATGTCATT